TGGAGGCCCGCGCAGCCCCAGCCCGGCCCCCGGCTCTGTGCCCCTGACCCCGTGTGCCGTGACCCCGTGCCCGCCCGGCTGTGCCCGGCCGTGCCGCTTCCCGGCACGGGGCTCCGCTGCGCCATGGCCGCCCCGCGCTCCCTCCTGCTCCTTTCCCTGCTCCTCGCCGCGCTGCAGGGACGGGGACAGCGGCCGCCCCCTCCCCGCAGCCCTCTTGAGAAAGTGGTGACCGAGGGGAACCTCGGCCTCGGTGAGGTGAGGCCAGGCGTCCCCCGCGGGTAGGGGCACTGGGAGCAGCGCCGGGGCTGCGGTGTGGCCCCTGCTGCTCCCCTTTCCGATCCGGCCCCATAGCACACCCCCAGCCCACGCCTGGCCCCGCAGCATGTCGCGGCCTGCTGCCCACACAGCTCTGCTCCGGGCACTGCCGTCAGGCCTCCGGGTGCTTGTGGAGATGCCCCATGGGGGTCTGGGGGCTCATGGGGAGCATGGGGCTGGGCTGCAGGGTCCCAACCGGAGCTATGGGGTGGGAGCAGTCTGTGGGATGCTTGTCTGCCACATACTCAGTGCTGCATGAGTGTGTGTTGTGGGGCGACATCCTGGGCACCCCATTGTGCTGCTGCTCCTGAATGAGGGTCCACAGTGAGCAGCACTCCAAGCACGGGGCCAGGCTGCAGGCAACAGTGCCGAGCAAGCGGGGAGAGCACGAAATGTGGGAGTGGGTGCTCAGCACAACGAAGTGGCAGCAACCTTGGGCAGGGGTAACCCCAGGGCCCGGGCCTCGATGACCAGTGCCCACCTGGCGCTGTGCAGCTGGTGGGGAGGTGGTTCCTGGTCGGCATGGCATCCCGCTGCAGCTACCTGGCAGAGAACAGCCACCGACTGGAGGCCACAGCAATGACAGTGGCTGTCCTGGATGGGCAGAGCCTGGCCATCAGCACCTTCAGGAAGCTGTGAGTGATGCTGGCTGCTGATGGGATGGGATGCTGCAGATGGGCTGGAGTAGGGCCAGCACCTGGCTGCAAGGGCTGCAAGGGGGAAGAGCTGCCCTGGAGCAGTGCAAGGGGATCTCTGGGATGTTTTGTACTAGCAGTCTTGATTGTGGTGAACCTGACACCCTGCAAGCCACAGGGCTGCCATCACAGGGTGGAGTTAGGGTGCCCAGGTGGGATATGGGACAGGCAGCCTGGGGAGTCTGGGGCACGAAGCAGGTGTGTGGCTGCTCCACGGCTGCTTGCTCAGGGATCGCTTCCCAAGGGCTCCCACAGCAGCAGCACAGCTGATGTCTGGCTGTCTGTGGGTGGCCGTGGGTGACACAGCTGTGTGGGGTGTCAGGGGTAGGAGCTGCAAGGAGGGATAGGGGTGGCTGACACGTGGTGCTCAGCAGTTACTGGGCTTCCCTTACATTGGTGCCCAGTGGAGAAAACCTCCTGAGAAAACACATCCCATGTAGAAGCTGGAAGGGCAAAGCTGGGGGCCAAGTGCAGCCTACCCTGCACTGTGCTTCTCTCCCTGCACAGAGATGGGCAGTGCTGGGAGATCAGGCAGCGTTACGTCCCTGCAGGAGCCCACGGGCGCTTTTCCGTGAGAGGTGAGCACAGGGCTGGGTGGGCGCCATGGAGTGGCCCCTCCTGCTCCCACGGGGCTTTGGCGCGAGTGGTTTCCCCCAGTGCTTCCCACTGTGCCACCTCTGCCGTCCAATTGTGTCCCTGTGCCGAGTGCCGCCATCGGCAAGGCCATGGAGATGTGTGCCCTTGGTGCCCATCACACCCCTCGTGCCCTCTGGTGGTGACGCGAGGCCCCGGGATGGTGCCCAGTTGGGCCACACCTGCCCCAGTGTTCCCCACAGGCCGTGGCTACGACAGCAAGATGGAGGTGGTGGTGGGAGAGGCGGACCCCCGCAGCTATGCCATCATCTACTACCAGGACAGCCAAGGCCTCTCTGTCAAGCTCTATGGTGGGTTGGCATAGGGCAGTGGATGCCTGTGCCCCACGCCGTGCCCCACACCAGGCCTGCTACGGGGCGCGGGGCCGGCAGCAGGGCTGTGATGGTGGGTTTCCCCGCAGGCCGCAGCAGCCAGCTCAGCGACTCCATAGTGGACAGGTTTGAGCAGCGCGCCAGGGCCGTGGGCCTGAGTGAGGATGTGAGCTACTACTTCCCCACGTACGGTGGGTGCCACGCAGCTGCCGGGAGCGGGGGCAGCTGAAGGGGGCTAGCGCTGGTTGGGGTCTGGTACCAGCAGGGCGGAGGGGAGGGGGACATCCACGTGGGTTTGGGAACCCCCGCACAGGGCAGCTGACCGTCCCAGGCTCTCTCTGTCACAGGGTTCTGCGACTCTGCAGATGATTTCCACATCCTTGACGGTGAGCACGGCTCCACGCTGCCGCGACCCTGCCTTGCAGTGCTGCCACAGCACGGGGCAGGAGTCCCTCGGTGCCCTGGTGTGGGGCTGGGAGATGGCAGAGCATCACCCAGCGCAGCCTCGCGTTGGCAGAGGAAGGCCCTGTTTGGCCCCTGTGTGGGTCCGGCTGGGCTTAGCGGTGTCTGTACCGGGATGAGGGTCTGGGGTGGGGCGTCTGGGATGGAGACAACATGGCTGTTCTCAAAGGTGACTCCACCGTTTGTCATTGGTGCCTGGGGAGGCAGAGGTGAGTCCCAACCCTGGCACTGGGCTCTGCCCCAACTCCTCAGCACCTCTCCTTCCCTTCCAGAAACAGAGCTGTAGATGGAAGCAGTGTTTCCAGGATGTGCCCAGCGCTGATCTCTCACCTCATGCAGCTGCCTGTGGACACAACCACATAAGGATGAGCTGGGGCTTGACCAGAGCCTGCTGCTGCTCTGCAGTGCTGGGAGCACACCCTGGGCTCCCCTGTTCCTCCAGCCTGGCTGTGTCACCCGACGGCTTCATGCCCTTTGCCCCATGCCCTTCAGCAACCGGCAACACCCCAATAAACACAAAAAAAGCTCTGTGTCTAGGCAAGGCAGAGTGCCTGGCAGCCTGCGGAAGCATGGCATGGGGAGCTCACAGCTCACTTGGTGCCTTTGGACTGGTGGGCTTGGGGGCCCTGGGAGCCTGCATTGGGTCAGCTCTTCCCCTAGGGACCTCAGGAGAGGAAAATGCAGCCTTGTAGCTCTCCTGCTTTCTGTCTTCAGGGCTGGTAAAGCAGCTGTGACCCTGCCTGGGCCCTGTGGACCATGGTCTCCAAGAGGCTGTTGCCACCTGGGCCATACCCCTGAGAGCACCCAGCTGACAGCCAGGCAGAGGACATGCCTGGAGTCCTCTGCACGGACTGCAGGGTTACCCCTAGGGGCTCAGGGCTCCCAGCAGCCTGATACACATCCAACCTGGCAGGGCTGCTTTGGTTCCAACCTCCCAATGCAGGCTGGAGTTGGAGAGGAAGGGGCAACACCCTGAGAGGAGCCCCGAGCAGTTTCTGCTGAGGCAGCAGCAGGCTGGAAAGCCCCTTCCCCACAGTTGCCCCACAGCAGGCTGGTCTGCAGCCCCTGGGGTGTGAGCAGCCCTCTGCCCCCAGCACTGACGTTTTGCAATCTTAGCGGAAACTGGTAACACGTGTTGTTTATCAGGGCCTTATGTAAGGATCCGCCACGTGACCCGTCCTAAGCCAGCCGCTGTCCTGCTGCCCACATCTGGGGCAGCCATGTCTGGCCACGCTCACAGAGCTGCCAGGCCACCTGCTGAGCACATTGCCTTGGAGTCAGGGCGCCATGGGCCAGAGCCACCCTGTACAGCTTGCTTCACCCAGCATGGAGCTGCTCCCCAGAAGCGGCAGTATCCTGGTGGAAGCATGGTGTGGCGATGGGAGCCGTGGGCTCTTCCAGCCTGGCCTGCAGCCACCTGGCATCAACCCGCTGGGACCCTGTGCGCTCCTCAGTGTCTCTGCCAGGCACACGGGGTGCTGCACGCCTCCATTTCCCAATGGAGAGAGCTTTCCCCAGCATCCCGCACCCCGAGGGGCCCATGGAGTGCACCCACACCAACCAAGGGTGGGCTCAGCCCAGGGCTGAAAGTGGCATGTGGGGGCCCAGGGTGCTCTCATGATGCTCGATCCTGCCCAGCTCAGCTTTTGTTTTGTTTTAATAAATCCGCAGCAGCAGGGCCAGCCCAGCCCCCGGCACATGCTGTGCTGCACAGGCTTGGCTCGCAGCTGGATGTGGAGAAGGGAATGTACTCAGGCGGCCAGGCAGGGTGGGCTGCCGAGAGGAAAAAAACAGCTGCTATGAAAACATGCTCCTTATGTAAAGAGCCTTGGAAGGGCTGTGCTGCACAGAGAGCCGCAGGCTGGCAGTGGGCACTTGCCAGAGCCACAGCCCAGGGCAGCACGACCTGCCTGTGCTCTGTTCCGTGCAGTCCTGCCCAGCTCCACAGGGCCACCAGTAACAGCAGTGATCACCCCCAGCCCTTGCCCTGCTGCAGCCCCAATCCAACAGGGACAGCTGCTCCTGGAGAAGGGTGCGGGGTGAGACAGGGGCTCTGTCTGACTGCATGCTGTTGTCCGGGAGCTGTGCAGGGATTGGGGTCAGCACAAGGCAGGGGGTTCCCATGGGTGTACCCAAAGGTACCCACAGATCCCATGGATCAGATCAGGACCTGGCAGGCACTTGTGCTGTGCTGAGTCCCCTCTCCGGGTCTGAACGATGTTTTTCTGCAAGGCAGGGGCAGGCAGCAAAACCTGAACCTGGCGTCCCCATGCTCTGCCCACGGCAGCCCCTCTTCCCCCACACCCTGTGCTGTGCAGCCCTGGGGCAAGGATAGCCAGTGAACTGGCCGCCAGCTGTGTTTGTGCTGCAGAGCAGTTTGGCACCCCGAGGCAAACATGTAATATCAACAGGAAGGAAAAATTCACAGGTTCCCAGCCTGCCCTTTGGATTCAGCTCTTGCCCCTGCTCCTGCTTGCATAACGGCACGGGGGGGAGACAGGGCTGGCCCGCCCTCCTCACCAGCCCCCTGGGGCGGCTGCGCTGCCTGTCCATAAATAGGGGCTCAGTGCTGCGTCCAGCACTGCCTGCAGCTTCCACTCGGCTCAGCTCTGCTCAGCTGCGGACATGCAAGCCACGCTGCTCAGCATCCTGGGGCTGGCCCTGCTTGGGGCTCTGCACGCGCAGAACAGCATTCCTGTGCAAGCTGACTTCCAGCAGGACAAGGTGATCCAGCCCAGCCAGCCTTGCTGCATGGGGCCGGGGTGTGTGGGATGCTCCTCTCCCCAAAGATGTGCAGCGAGGGGGGTACTGGTGGGCTGGGGGCCCTACTGCTATGGGAACAAGGAGAAGGGGGCACCCGTTGCATCCTCAGCCCAGCACTGGAGTCCCACCAAGCGGGGGCACGGGCTGTGCTGCTGGGTCCTACAAGGAGCCCCTGGGAGAGTCTGGGTGGCACAGCTGCCCCAAAGAGGTGATGGGGAAGGGCGCAGATCCATGCTGACCCCAGCCTGGGCTGGTCTGTGGTCTTGGCCGCTGTTTGTCTCAGAGTCCTGGCCCATTCCTTGTGCTGTGAATGGATGCAAATGGCACTTCTGCTCTGCTTGGCCCTGTCCTGGGTGGCCCTGCCTGGATGGGAGGATGGGGAGGGCAGCAATATGCTCAGTTAGCCACGGCTCTGCCAGCCGTGAGGGCTGCAGCATGGCACAGCCCTCCTGCCCACGCTGAGCAGAGTTTGTGTACAGCTCGCAGGGAGATGGTACAGCATCGGCCTGGCCTCCAACTCCAACTGGTTCAAGGACAAGAAGCACCTCATGAAGATGTGTACCACAGACATCACTGTCACTGCAGATGGCAACATGGAGGTCACCTCCACCTATCCCAAGTACGGGTGGCGGGGAGCTGGGGGGGCATAGTGCAGCGCTGGGGGCTGCTGGGTGGGCGCTGGGGGTGCTGAGCTCCACCCTTCCCCCCCCCCCCGTGTTCCTTCTGACGGCCCTGTGCTGCTCCCCAGGGGTGATCAGTGCGAGAAGAGGAACAGCCTCTATATCCGGACGGAGCAGCCCGGGCGGTTCAGCTACACCAGCCCACGTGAGCCTCTGGGCCCTCGTCTCAACCCTGCAGCAATGTGGCCCTTGGAGGTGGGGGGCCCGGGCTCAGCGCTGGGGCTGAATGGTGCTCTCTCCATTCCCACAGGCTGGGGCAGCAACCACGACATTCGTGTGGTGGAGACCAACTATGACGAGTACGCCCTGGTGGCCACCCAGATCTCCAAGAGCACCGGCTCCTCCAACATGGTGCTGCTCTACAGTACGTCCCCACGCCGCTGCTGAGACCCCTGGGCTTTCCTCAGAGGGGATCTGTCCTGCAGGGCGGGTGATGGGACGGCACCCCCGCGCTGGGTCCCCTCCCCTGGCTCCCTGGGGCTGCCCTCACCCTGCTCTCACCGCAGGCCGCACCAAGGAGCTTGCACCCCAGCGCCTGGAAAGGTTCATGCAGTTCTCCCGGGAGCAGGGCCTGAAGGACGAGGAGATCCTCATCCTGCCAAAGACAGGTACGGGTGGGCAGGTCACAGTGGCTTCTGGCCACGCTCAGCCCATAGGGATGGAGGGAGGAGGTGGAGGTGCTTGGAGGGTTGTACCAGATCCCGGGGCAGCAGTGCCCCTAACCACCAGAAGATGATCTCTGCTTTTCTTCTTTCTGCAGACAAGTGCATGGCAGATGCTGCCTAGGTGAGTCCCGCCCCCGATGGCGGCTGGGGCTTCCCAGCATTGCCTCCACCCTGCAGAGCCCTGGTGCAGTCAGCCTTTGGAGCTGCTCAGCTCTCACTGGGGCATCACTCATCTCCCTTTGGGGTGGCCCTGCATGGGGGGTGTGGGGCTGGCAGAGGTACTGCCACCCCACGCCAACCCCCACCAGCTCAGCAGTGCTCATTTCTCCTCTCTCCCATGCAGGCTGCTGCTGGATGGAGCTCCAAGAGTGCCATGAGCCGACAACCGCTCCATCCTGACCCAGTGCCATAATCTACCTTTGCTTCCTGGCTTTGCACCCCGCATATCTGCCCCTGTCCTTATTAAAGCCCATATAAACCACTGTTCCCCTGCTCGTGTCTGTTGGGTTGTTGTGGAGTGGGGCCCAGTGGGCGTTCTTGGGGTCCTGCTCAGTTGAGGTTGGAAGGCACTGCAGTGCAGGGAAGGTGATGGGTTTGTACCCTGTATGCACACACATGGTGCTGCCTGGTCACGAAACCTGCCTCATCTGGGACAAAGGGGTGCCAGGGCTGAGAAGGGCTGAGACCAGCTATGGGGATCAGATCCCGTCTGCCACATTGGCCACGCCAGCCTCCCTGCCTCAATTTCCCCTCTGGAGAATAGGCTGGCTGTGTGGGCATGTGGTAATGAGCGATCACAGAGGGGATCTCCAAAACCACAGCAAGAGGATGGACACAAACCAGATGGATGCTCAGTCCCAGCTGCTCCAGTGCTCCCCGGGCCGTGCCCCAGTCCTGCCCTGGAGCTGGGTCTGCACCCACTGGCAGCAGGCTGCAAACTGACCCCAGACTTAAGCCCCATCCCACTGCTCTCCCCATCCTGACACAGCCGGATCCTGGGAGGGAAGCCAGGGGACACCTCTACACCCACGGCCCCTTCCCTGGACCCACTTTGGCACAGATGGTGCCAGTCCCCAACATGCTCTGTGCTGGGTCTGACACAATGCCACATTCATTTGGGACAGAGCAATTAGACTGGGAAGGGGCCAAAGTTGTCATCTAACACGGGGACAACTTATCACTGCTCTTGTGTAACCTGTTGCATAAAGTGGGGTGGGTGGGGGGTGCTGCCAGCAGTGGGGGCTATAAAGGTAGGTGCAGGAAAAGGCAGCACCGCGCAGCCTCTCCTGCAGCATCCAGACAGCATCCAGACCCCAAAGCGAGGATGACAGCGGTGCTGCCGAGCCTGGTGCTGACCCTGCTCTGCCTGCTGCGGGCAGGGGCTGAGGTCCCTGTGCAGCTGGACTTCGACACCAAGAAGGTAATGGCATAGGGTGCCAGCCTGCCTGGGCTGGGCAGGGTGGCAGAGCTGCATCCCCAGGTACCCCCTGATCTCAGCTCTGAGTCTTCTCCAGAGCCTCTGCTGTGAGACTGTGGGTACCGACGCACAACCAGACCAGTGCTGGACTGCTGTGCTGTGGGAATACAACACCCTGGGGCTATGGTGGCCCAGGGAACGCGGAGCTGCCCCAGGGAACGTGGGCAGAATGCCATGCTCACCCCTGCGGCACAAGGCAGGAGCGCTCTGTGTGCAGGGAGGTGGCAGGTCCCCATGCTAGGTTTGGCTGGTCCCTACAGCAGGAGGCAGGTCCCCGCAGAGAACAGCAGGTCCCCATGGCATGTGACAGGTCCCTGTGCAGAAAGGCAGGTCCCCATTGGAGATGGCAGGTTCCTGCAGTGGGGTGACAGTGTGACAGGTGCCTGCCATGGGGTGGCAGGTCCCCCAGGGCAGGTGGCAGGTCCCTACAGTACGACAAGTCCCTGTGAGGGGGTGGAAAGTCCCTATAGCAGCTGACAAGTCCCCTTCCACAAGCTGAATGGGCCCCATGGTGGCTACAGGTCCCCCAGGTGAGTGGCAGGACCCAGTGGTGGGTGGCAGGTCGCTACCTTGGGGTGGCAGGTCTTCCACCACTGGCTGACAGGACCCACAGTGGGTATAGGTCCCCGTGGCGGGTGGTAGCTCCCCAGATCTTCCCCAAACCCTGGCAGTGATGGCTCGCTGCAGTTTGCAGGGATGTGGCACATCATGGCTGCTGTTTCCAACTGCCCTGTGTTCCTGAGCATGAAGGACAAGATGACATCATCTGTCACCACAATCAGCTTCACGCCAGAGGGACACATGGCCATGGAGATGGTCCTCCCGCTGTGAGTCCCATTGCAGTGGTACCTCCTGGGCTGGGCACTGCCCAAGCTGTGGGCTGCACGGCCCCACATGTCCTGCCGCCTGGCGTGCCGCCCTCTGGCTCCAAGCCTCTTTTGCTGTTTCATTTTTCCCCTTCCAGGCCAGAAGAATGCAAAAAGATTCTGATGCTGTTCCAGCACGGTGGGCAGGCAGGGCACTACATTGGCACAGGTATGTGTGGGCAGGGGCCCTGAAATGCAGGGTGGGCAGCGCCTGTCCTGCTGCGCCCAGGGGCAGAAGGAGGTGAGTCGGCTCCTCTGCCTCCACCCGCGGCTGCACACAGCTGCCGGCTCTGCGCAGCACCTCCCTTCTCAGACCCCGCTGGGCACATTGCAGCCACGGCCTGACTGGGTGCTCTCTGGGGTCTTTTAGAAAATGGAGAGAAGAGGGATCTGCGCGTGATGGACACAGACTACGAGCACTACGCCGTCGTGTACACTCAGAAGAAAGACAGCCAGGAGCCCAGCACCATGCTGCAGCTCTACAGTGGGTGCCCATCCTGCGGGGGGGGGGGCAGGGCTGGGACCTCCATTGCCACCCAAGGCCACTGTGCCAGCACCCAGCATGCCAGCACCTTCCCGTGCCCAGAGTCCCTTTTGGAGTGAACAAAACATGACATTGGCGATATCCCCAGTTACCACTGACCCCATTTTGCACCGTTTTGAACTAAATCCCCACCTGCAGCATGTGCCACTCAAGCTGCAGACCCCCATGGCTGCTGGGGCTGTATGGGGTGCACAGCCCCCAGGGTGTGGCCACAGAGGTACCTGGTGGCCGTCCCACACCCCGTCCCCTACTGCTTTGCCCATCCCAGGGGTCCCACTGTGGGACCACCCCCAGGTGCAGTGCTGGCTGTAGGACCCCTCACTCACAGCTCCCGCTTTGGTCTCCACTTGCAGCAAGGAATCAGGACGTGAGCCCACAGCTCCTGCAGAAGTTCAAGAAGCTCTTCCACTCCGTGGGCCTGACTGAGGACATGCTGGTCGTGCTGCCGCACTCGGGTGAGTGCCAGAAGGGAGGTGGCATTCATGTCCCCTCTGTGTGGGGGCGCTCTGCTGGGACTCAGCACTCGCAGTGAGGGGCTCATCCCTCTTCTCACACTGAACAGATAGGTGCACCAAGACTCTCAAGTGAGCACAGGCTGAGGATGCACAGCCCCTCCAAGTGCCTGCTGACCCCACGTCCATCTGTCCATCCATCCTGCCTCCTTGCAGCTGAGGGGCTGACACAGGGCTGTGCGTCCTTAGGACCTGGCTCAGTGGCCACTCCGTGCTGCCCCTTCCCAGCCCTGCTGCTCCATCCTGGGAGCACACTTCTCTGCTTGAAATAAACAGATGCAGAAGCTGCCCCTGAGCTCAGTGCTTTTGTTGTCAGAGCTGGGGATGCTGACCGCAGCCCTGCACCAAACCCATCCCTCCAAAACCACAGGGCAGTCTGGGGGCTCCTTTACTGTGCGGTTTGCAGAGCCCACCCTGCGCGGGGAGCCCAGCTGGGCAGAATGGAAGCAGGCAGCCCCTAGGACACCCAGCTCCCTACACACCTGGGCAAAGGGCTGCCTCATGTCTAATCAGGGCCCCCACATCCACCTGCCACCCACCACCCTACATGCCTGCTGGCAAAGAGCCGTGGGGGAAGTGGGGCTGTGCCCCCATCCCGTCTGTATTCCCCAACAAGTGATGGCCGAGAAAGGGGGGTCCCTCAGCACACACATGGGTGTGTTTGTGAGGATGCAACACGAGCCCTTTGGAACCCTGTAGCCCCTAAGAGCCAGGGTAGAGGGACAGCACACCCTGGCCAGGAAGGCACGCGTATCAGCAGGACGCTGCGCTGCCATCCAGGCGTGGGGTTGCCGATGGGAGCGGCCTCGGGGCGGGTGCCAGTCACAGCTGTGCCGGGGCTGCCCATGGACGCTGTGCCGGGAACGACCTCCCCGCTTCTCCCGGCAGTTCTCAGCCGGGGAACAAGAAGTACTTTTGTTCTTTCACAAGAGGCTTCAAGAAAACAAGAAACTCTTCATTTTCAGCTGTGGTGCAATAGCAGTCCTGCAACCCCACCGCTCAGACCCCTCCTCGGGGCTTGCAACACTTTCCTCTTTCCGTAAGCCTCTGTTTACCCTGGGACGGTTTCAGCTCCCACAGCAGCACCTCGCCCCACGCCAACAATAGCAGCGCTCTCCGTGCGGCGCAGCACGCAGGCGGGGGGGCTGAGCGCAGCCCTATAAAGCCGACAGCACCCAGCGCTCCTCGTCCTGCGGTGACGCCGGAGGCTGCGGGACATGAAGATGACGCTGGCCCTGAGCCTGGCGCTGGCCCTGCTCTGCTTGCTGCGCGCGGGGGCTGCAGCCGCAGTGCCGGACAGGAGCGAGGTGACCTGCGGGACGCCGGGGAAGGGACTGTGGGCTCTGCTCACTAGGATGGGGGTGGGAGGACCTTTGGGTGGCTGGGGACAGCTGGACACCACGGCTAACGCTGGAAGCGCTGCACGCCCGGCTCAGCACACTGATGCAGCAGGGGTTTGGGTGTCTGTATGGGATGCAGGTGATGTCCTGCCAGGCTCACAGCCCATTCCCACCGCCAGATTGCAGGGAAATGGTACGTTGTTGCTCTGGCCTCCAACACCGAGTTCTTCCTGCGTGAGAAAGGCAACATGAAGATGGCAATGGTCAGAATCTCTTTCCCAAGAGAGGACGAGCTGGAGGTCTCCTATGCTGTCCCCAAGTAAGTGCCAGGTGCTTCTCTCCCTTGGCTTTGGTCAGCGGGTGCCCATCCAGGTGCCCCTACCCAGTACACCCACAAACCTGGTGGGAGACTGAATTGGGGCACCAGCTGTCAGCAGCCAAAGGTCCCCTCAGTATAAGTGCCAGGTTCTGTTCTCCCTGTCCTGCTCTGGCAGCCATCGCTGCACGAGTGGCGGCTCTCCCCTGGACACACCATCCTCTATCAGCACCTCCTGTGTTGGATGTGAGACCCCGACTCCAAAGCTTGTGTCCTGGGGAGGGAACCTCACCCAGCAGGGCCAAAACCAGGTGACTCTGAGCACACCTTGAGAATGTGTTCCTTGCCTTGCAGGCCAACGGGGTGCAGAAAATGGGAGACTACCTTCAAGAAGACCAGTGACAGCGGTGAAGTCTACTACTCAGGT